ATGTTCGGTAATTATCCAGCACGTGTGGGATGTGAGGACTATCATACTTGGTGAGGAGAGATTAATCGAGTGTTTATAGAGTCTTGAAGACTCATTGATATGATTAAAAGACACCGCACTGCTCCATAGTGTTTTTCTAATAAACCTAATCTAGCTTCCAAGAAAAGACAGCTTTTAAAAGGCATTTGGCGAGCTTGAACACAAAAGCATGCCAAAGGCATAGCAATTAATCCTCAAGGAATTGGCTGAATAATTAAGCGTTTAATTTGAATCCAGCAGAATCAGTGTTCAAATCACAATGTCATCTACTCATATTACTATCCCAAGGGTCACACCAATCACCCTTTGGATTGAACATTATCCGATGCATATGGGCCGGACAATTATCGGGTTTTGTAAGGAATAATTGAACTACAAACTTCGGATACTGCATATTCTTAAAAAAAGAAAAGAGCGATAAAATGTATAGCAGTTCAAAAGTTGGTTTCCATCGTGTACTCCACCATTGCTGTTGCAGCTTATAGTTCTCTTTCCAAAACGGAGTTGAGCTCGAGTGCCTATTAGAAATTATTGTCATGGTGCATCGCCGCTTTTGGCAAAGTTTTAACGCTGCAAAAGCTCCAAACGTACCCTCGAGCAGGTATGCAATTAATAGATTTTCATTCGTGTTAGTCACCTTTGCTCTAGGGTGTACCATGAGATCTCGAAAGCCACGAAAATGACAGTGGCCAACCGACAAAAAAGGAGGAGAAACTAATGCGCAGTTTCCCCATGCAGCATCCGGGAAATTGCGCCCTTCAAATTGCAGAACCTGTCTTCACGAGATCATGAGGTACATGTAGATGCACCTGAACGTATAACAACAAACCCCATCAATGAAACAAGACTGTACAGCCGAGTGTGCAAAAGACCGGAATTCCTTTTTCTTTTGATCATCGAGGGATTGATTGAGTGGTTAAGCATTTATTTTAGATGCGACAAATCCGGCACTTATTGTCCCTATTCAAAGTAATTTGGAGGTCATTCCTGTCACTTTATGCATAGAGTCTTATCTAATGCATGTTAATTGATAGAGCAATTTGCATGTGTTCATGAGATTAATCCAGCCGAAAATTCAATTTTTTTTTGTATAATTCGAAAATGATAAAAAGTAGAAAGCAAATGCTTTTGCCTTTTGGGTCTTTAGAGGCTCAAGCCCAAACACGCTCGTCCACTCAACTGAACTTCAGTGGTGATTGAATGGAAGTGTCAAGAGAGAACTTTGATTATGAATTGATTGAAAGATCTGCGGCACTCATCCCCTCATTTGGCCTCATCTCTTTGATGGAAAGATCCTTTAAGATTGACCATTATCCTCTCTTTTCTGATTGCAATTGGCTCATTAGTCAATTCACTAGTGATGTGGCCTTCTACACTATAGTCTTTTCTCATCATGAGCTTGCTCTATAAAAAGTGAGTGACTGGCACCACTATGTGATGCTAATGACTTGGTGATTTTCCAGCTTTCTCTCGATCAATGTAATGACTAGAACCATGATTAAAGTTAGCCAATCGAAAGAGATTAAACTAACTGGTTAGTTAAAGGGAAAAGGCACTCTTGCAGTTTTAAATATCCTCCATTATAGTAATATCTTCTAATTAATGAACCGCCATAATACGACTTTGAAATATTTTGAGGGAAGAAAAGTTCATCGAAAGCCTTAAACTTTACCGGCAATGTATAATAGAGTCCTGAAATTTTTTTCATATAATGTTATAAAACCCTAAGTTACTTTTAAAGGTACTGATTGTACTAATTGGAAGGTACTAATTGCATTTTCTGACTAAGCTCACCTAATGTTCCTTGCTATTTGATTCTCATGCATAATCATATTTGTGAAGATTTCGTTATCCTTCCACTCACGGGGCATTAAGCTAGTCCACCGAAAGGGAAGGGACATGCTATATCAAAGTGAAAAAAAAAAAACTATAATTGCAGCTGCTACTTCTATGGTTATCATCTTTCAGCAAGCTGATGTTTTTGTAATATCCTTTTCATTGAACTTTCGTACATAACTTTGATGGGTAGTGGGATGTCTTATATCATTATAAATCACGACAAGTTGTTATCTATTCTTGTTGCATCATCAGTCCAAACCAAAATGTTGAAATAAAAATCAATTAGAACCAAAATATTTAGGTCGAGCTTAGTCGTCGGGACAAAGATTAGGATTGGATAGAATAAAATAGGACAAAGATTAGGATTGTAGAAAAGTATTTCAAAAAGCTTGCTTCTCTTATTTTTCCTTTTCTGGCATTATTTAAGAAACTCTCTCTTATTCACTTTTATTAATGGGTTTTTTACGAACTTGGTAACAACAAGAAAAAGATGTTGGGCTCGTGTTTATAAGCTTGGCTCGATCCTAGTGTAAAGTTGGATTTCACCTCCATGTGAGGCCTGGTCAAAAGTTTCTTTCCACCAAATTTTTATTTTTGTCTCCTGACCTTATCCGGAAAAGTCTATTTTACAATAAAACAAACATGCTTACCTTTAAACCTCTAATTTTTCTCACTTTAAACTCAATCAAACTAGCTGTTTAGTATTTGCATTTCTCGTTGTTTTCACTTTGCCCGAATAGTGAAATACACACTAATTAAGAGGTTTGTTGAATCCTGAAGTAGCCACGTCTTACTTTCCGCACTACCCGAACGGCAGAATTCATCCTTGAAGATAGTGCTTGGACGGCTTGTGCATTCGTGATCTTTTCCTTGGTTCTCGGAAATTTTCACAAAAGGTTTTGGGTTTGGTTGCAAATTTCTTTTTTAACTAGAACTCCTCACATTTTCTCCTCTTTTCATTTTTATCCCCACCTTTCTCGGTTAATCCATTTGACCCCTAACTACTCACCAAGTTGCATCAAACCTTGTAACAAAATCAGAACATCAAGATTATATGCCCACCATCATGTAGAAATTGGCCGAGATAAGATTGTCATAATTTTTGTCAATGACCTATACTTCCTCAAACACGAACAATCAGTGAAATGGAAATTCGAAGCACCCAAGATTATGATTCGGTTGACTTAGGGATTTGATGATATTAAGGATAGGACTGCATGATTTAGCAAATACTAAGGTCACTAATCTTTACTGATGCAGTCTCCCAGATCCATCATTTGGATTTTAAGGTTAGTGCATCGTCCCCTTCAATACTGGCGATTGATGGATCAGTCCACATATACACAGATTTCCTTTTTCTAAGTGGTAATTATGACAAACAGGTAATGTGGCAATATGATAGGAGATTAGGGTCTAATTACCATACAGATTATCGCGGAAAAGAAGGTGCTTAGAATTTCTAATGTGATCTGCAACATCCCTAAGACCTTTTCAAGAGGAAAACAATTAACAATTATCCTAAAAACTCCTAAAGAGATTATAATATAAAAAAAAATGTTGTGTGTAACATAATGATAATCATCATCTATACGTCATGGAGGCTAGATGGCTTCGTGTACACGTTAAAGAAACGAAAGTTTCAAGTCTTGATTGGAAAAAAAGTACCAAAAAAGTTTTAAATATATTGTATTTGTGCCAATTGAATTCAAACATTTTGACAATTTGCCAATTTAATCCTTCCAGCCAATTTGGCTGGCAATTGTTGATGTAGACAATTTTTACAATTATTTTTAAACAATTCGAATTTTTTCATAATTTTTTATTTTCTTTTTTTCTTTCTTTTTTTTCTTTTTCCTTCTCCTTCCGCCTATCGCCGGGCCCCAGTGACTGGCTAGAGGAGAGGGCCAACCTTGCCGGCCTAGCCAACCTCGCCCAAGCCTGTCGAGGCTCGAGCTTGCCAGGATCTGGCGAGCACAAGCCTTGCCAAAGGCTCGCGAGGTCAGCCCTATCATGTGGTCGGTTGCCTATTGCCATCGAGGCCCGACAACCGGCAAAGGAAGAAAGAAAAGAAAAGGAAAGAACAAATAAATTAAAAAATTCGAATCTTTTTTTAAAATTGTAAAATTGTCTATGTTCGTGTCGGTCGTGCCACGTAGGATAATCGGCGTCCACGTCAGCAATTTCCGGCTAGAATTGGTCGGAAGAACTAAATTGGAAAATTTTTAAAAGGTTTAGGACTCATTTGGTACAATTGAAAAGTTTATCACTATATTGGCATAAGCGCAATAGGTTTAAATCTTTCTTAATACTTTTCCCGTCCAAATTGCCTAGCTCAACTAATAACAATCTAAAACAGATATCGTTGTTTTAAATACTCAACGAAGCAATCTTATTAATAATATAATTAGCAATTCCCTGCTCACATGGATTGGAGTTTTTAAAATTTTAGATGAACAATAGTTAAAATAGATAGCACAATGATACTTCCGTATGATCATGGAAATTCTGAATTATAATTACTTTGCGATTACGTAGTATCAAACTTCGTCGGCAGCCTATATAATATCGATTTGAAAAGACTAATCTCGTGATGCTTCTTGATAAGCTTCGTAGAACTCTTCCTCATGCAAGTCCCATAGATATCCAGCCTTACCATTTGGTTCATTGACAGCACAACTGTTTCCTCACACAAGCACTGAACTTATGTTCATATTCGCCCGGATTTCGACTAGGCTCGACTAGACTCACCCAAACTTGAATTTGCTTAGGAAAAAAAATGTCCCAAGTCCCTCGTGCAATGACAGGCTTGGGCAAGGTTTCCTTGCCTCATGTCGGGCTGGATCCAGCCCAGCCTTACTGTCTAGCCTAATAACTCTAACCCAGCTTGGCCCGTTCATTGATTTGGTCTCGTATAGTCTATGCAGACAAAAATGGCTCCAGTGAAGACCTTGATGATTGTTGATTCATATGCTCTGGTTTTGTTCATATGCGAGTATAACCAGTGATCATTTGTAGTATCGGATGGAGATCGGCCCCAAAAGCATGTTTCATTGCTTTCAGTGAAGTTGCACCAAAACTGAACCGAGCTTATGCAGATCAGAGAAAGGACATACAAACGAAGCTTCAAAAACTGACATCTCCATTTAAGCATATGAAACTTTTCTTTGGACAGACAACAAACAAAGAGTAATGACTTCTTATATAGGACATGATTCACTATTTGAATCACCATAAAAAGCTAGATTCACGGCAGCACATAGGACTAGTTACACCCATCAGGAAAAAAACAAATGAAATCGTAAAACCCAGCAAGAAAGCACCGATAAATATATGCAAACACAAAAAAGGCGCCCTCGAGCAATTTCGCGCCTCACTTACACGACACCCCTAGTTCTTCACAGTGGTCACATGCTTCAACAGCATCTGCACGACGTCTTGAGAAATTCTCGTGGCCTCCGTCCTCAGGTGTTCTATCTTCGCTTCTGTTTCTCGCTCGAGCCGCTTGACGTTAGCGCCAGAATCTCCACTACTCTGCTTGATTGGCACACATGGAAATGGGGACAGACTTATCAATCAGTACGGACCAGCCTACCGCAAGCAATTATAAAGAGAATACAATACAAGCTCCTAAATGTAAGGAGGATAAAATTCTGAAATTTAATTCATGCTGTATTACAATGGTTGTAATGTGCTTCGGCAAAAGCTGCAGAGCTTGTCAAACTAAGACTTTATGATGAATATATGTTAATCTGAACAAGTGCAGGGCATGAGATTTGCGCAAGCATAAGTACACAAGCAGTTCACTGCTATTATTTGGTTCCAACAGACATTTCTTTATCCTAAATTTTTATGACCCAAGAAAGCAACTTGAAGTTCCCTTTAAGACAACACCAAGTGCTTAACAAGTTTTAGTGAACAGATTCCTTAAAATCAACCTAACTATTGCTCTGGTCAGTAAATAATCATGCAATCCCATTTTTTATTGATGCATATTTACATAAGTACTGTACATCCAGAGTCCTTGTGGCCACAGAATAGTCATCAGATAGAACCACACGAAGAAGATCATAAATTTATCAAGTACAAAGACTCGCTGAATTTAAAGAAAGCAACCAATCCCAATTGAACTTCACTTTTCAAGTATTAGAGAGCTGCAAAGCTTTGTCATTTTGAACTTCTAATTACATGTGTTTCTCCTTCACAAACGGGAATACCAAATAAGGATACTAGATGGAGTCAAAACAACTATTTTTTTATAAATCTAGTTTGACTTCTTTCCTATTCTTACCTCTGCCACCTTGCTCTGAAACCCAGCCTCCATTTGAGCACGAAACGCAACAATCTCCTTCTCTGCTTCTTCTTTGGCTTGCCTTAGCCGAGCCATTTTCGCTGTAAAGAACCAGTTGAGATTCTATTTATACCAATCTAACAACAAGCACTTACTAAGAGCAAGTAACAGCTTATGAAGTGATGTTACATGTTTATTATGTTAATCCAAAATCCAGTGCATGATAGTAACATTCAAAATATACTAATGCTAGTTTACTGCTCCACAGACAATCATTGTGGGGCGCAGGGGTACTGTCTGGGTAACTGTACCCAGTAACCGTCACCTCGCTCGGATGTAAGGACACGTGCCCTTCATCCTTTTTCATTCGTTAGTTTTTTTTTTTTTTTTCCTTTCTCAGGCCAAAGCCAAATCAATCATACAAGGACTGTTCGACCAAAAAATATAAAAGGAACATACAAGGACTGGATATGCTTAATCCCACAGCGTTGACTACGTGCTTAACAACTAGTTGGTAAGTGTGAATTAGGAGCACAATATAGATTCAGATTCTCACACCACGATATCACAAAACTCCATATTTGGGCTACCACTTGAAATTTGCTCATGTTTTCCCTTGTCCAAGAGGTTAGTGGGGCATTTTATGGCCCCATGGTTTACCTACCTAAAATAGGATTCCTCTTCGTTAGAAAAAGGGATTAGATGTGTGTATAACTAGTCTTGCATCTGGTTAACTATAATATACATTATCTTATCATCTCATATTAGATCCACTCCAAAGATCTTAATGGCCATACACAAGCTTAGAGTACTAATTCTCCAGAGCAAACAACTAGCACTGAGATCATGCCAGTCAAGACAAAAGTAAATGCACTGGAATAAGATTGTGTTAGATGGCATATCTAACGGGTAGTAATAGTATGTAGACAAACTTCATTCCAGTAAACAAATGGAAATGCTATCAAACTAATAAACCAATAAGAAGATTTAGAGACATGTTACCCTCTCTGGCAGCATTGACAATGCGCTGTGCCTCTTGTTCTGCAGCAAGAAGCAATTGAATTCCATTCTGTTGTCCCCTGTTGGCTGCCATGGGTGCTGAAGTTTTCACAAAAAGTAAGTCATAAAGAACAGTTACAAATTACTATGAATTAGCACTCACTGTTGTTAAAAGTATTTTGCTTCTTACTGCAACAAACTCAGGACTTCAGTAAGCCATTCAAAAAATGAAGTTCAAAGTGTATATATAAAGATTCCAGCAAGCACATAGTTTTGGGGTAAACTTAATGAGACAATAGAGAGTGAAAATAACATTGTATCATTTATCAGGAGAATTTGAAATGAGTAAACTCTGCATCATACTAGCGGCTGCAAACAATGAATTGAAATTGCCAACTCAGAAACGAAAACTTTGAAACTGTTGAGATAAAACTACTAGCCACTGTGACTAAAGAAGCAAATACAAATAGCAATATTACAATTTAGGAAACCAAAACGAAAGAATTACAAGAGAGGCAAAGAAATATAATAAAAGGTCGAGAACAATCGAACACACATGACGATTGACACAATAACTTGACAAATTGTCTCTCCATTCATGAATCTCTTTGATATTGTCTCGCTCAAAACCCAAATCTTTTTTATCATTAAAAACAGTAGAAAGGGGCGACCAAAACCGGCGACTCCCTGGGCATTACTATAGGAGCTCCCCACCCATCACAGAATGAGGCTACTGCTTGTTTTGAGCAAGTTTGTCACCGTCGCACCAGCACGGTGCTAGTGGGAGTAGACCCGGGATTATCCTACACCATGGCACTGACCAACCTAAGTCACAGACGAACCAAGGGTTCTTGATCGAACCAATGACCAGGGGCCCAAACAAGAAAAGAACTTATCAGTTTGCTATTTCCAGCACAAAATCATCATTTAATTCCTGTAAATATCCTCAAGCCACCATATACCCGGATTGCTGATTGATACCGCTCAGGCCAATAAAAAAGACAGAAAACGTCTACACGATTATGGCACGGATCAACGAGAAAAGGCCGGAAATTTATTCCGATACGTAATTGAACAACTTCTCAAGCATTGAGCACCCCCTACGTGACTGATCACAAGCAAAGATCCAACCCCAAAGCCTTCAATAAGCCAATCGCGAAAGCACCCAGTTCAGTTACCAACATCTTATGACTAATATAATGCCAAAAGAGTTACAAGAATCACTTCTCCAACTTGAAAAGAGCAAACCCAACAGATAAACTAACTTAGAACAGAGATGCTTCGACGTGAATCGTGTGTTCGAGCACGCCGTGACCCCTGATCCAGAGTTCACCGAAGATCTAAGGCTGGACGGTTGATGAACAAAACGGTGAACCGGGGAACGGTGACGGAATTAGATATGCCGTCACCAATACACGCGACTGAGCAACGCACGATGCAGAGAGAAAGAGAGAGAGTACCTGAAGAATCGGGTTCGGTCTTAGATTCGATTCAAAGACTGATCGCTACGCTTTGAGAAACTTCAAAGAGCAGTTGTCAACTCTCTGATACTGATACGCCAATAAAAGCAAGTAGTAACACACACACACACACACATACACACACACACACACACACACACATATATATATAATAATTTCGACCAAAAAAAATCCTTTATGATGACTTCTACCTTTTTGTTTTTCAATTTTTTTTGAAACATTACTATCCGTGAAATGATTTTTGTTTAGCGCGAGCTTCAAGATGTCTTTTAAAGTATAGCAACAAAGATGCACACTTATTGCGCTTATCCGAAAAAGAGACATCCTAAAATTATGTAAGATCACCCTATTGAGAAATATTTGAATCATAGAAATTGGTTAACACGCATAATGTAGAGCTGAAATTGTGCACATATATATAGAAAGAGAGAATCGTTTTGAGATTCGAAATTGTTTCAGAAGGTTTTTACAATAAAGGAATTATAGAATTTGGAATTTATTTATCTGAGTGATAACATAATATCATAAATTTACGCATTTTTCCATGAATGTAATATTTATAAAATAAGTGAAATTTGGATATTTGAGAAAGAAAAAAACGATGGATATCCCATAAAAATAGGGAGTACTTTTTGCTTTATATAATAATATAGATTATATAGATAACTTATAATTCGATACAGAATAAATAAGGAAGTTAACCTAAAAAAGTGAATTCAAACCCCCTTACATTATTACATGAGAAAGATCAATAATTCGTTACTCAACTATTATTTGATAAGGACATTCATCACCAAAGAATTTTTATAAATTTATTTCTAGATCACTCTCTATATGCCCAACGATATAATTACACTTCACTTATAAGATTTGGTTTGGATTCATTTTTTTTATCTAAAAATCATAAAATTGTTTTTACTTATTTTCAATTTATCAAATGCTTCTCAACGAAAAACAATGTTTGGTAATGCCAAATAGTAAGGATTGTTTAACATCATTTTCATTAATACATAACGGTTGTCGTGTCTAAGTACTAATTATATTTTTTTGTAGTATATTGCTTAATGATTCAGTCGTAAGTTATATAACCAAAACAAATATCGCCTAGTTACAACTAATCAAAATAGCACAATTTGAAACTATACCATTAATGTATATAGTAGACAAAAGCAAATTATAATTATTAAAAGGTGAACAAAAATGTCAAATGCACCAAATTCTCTCGTACCCTTAGGAACTGAAAAGTGGAGCTTTAAGCCATCAGGGTGAATAGTGAATAGTGCAGAAGAGATAATACAATTAGTTGATAGGAGTGGCATTCGGGCATTTGTGTTAAGAATTTTAGGATAAAACATATATAACTTTAAGGAGCTCCAAAAGCATAAATGACCTCCCGTGCACAAACTAGTAGAGAACTAATATCGCTCTTTTGATGAAGCCATGGTAGGTCGAAACCAATTATTGTGTTGAAGTGCTCAATATATCTTGCCTGAGAGACTAGATACCTGAGCTAAATTAGGCATGGTATGATCCGATGAAAGGATGTGATTTGCCATACTGTTCTTAAAAACAATCTTTAGAAGGAATGCTGGCCTATAGTTCTCGGCTCATCAAGCACCGCACGGGCTATTCAAAGGCCAAGAATCTATTGACCTGTGACAAATGGTATCAGAGTAGGATTCCTCCAATAAGTGGGTGATTCAAGGAAAGTCTGTGGCCTACCCAATCTTATGAGGGCGGGGAGTGATCGTCGGAGCTAAAAGGCTTGGATAATGTACGGCTCTCATCAAGCTTATTGGATGGCAATGGAGGGGACAAGAATGAATCGAATTGCTTATTAAATAAGGAAAACATTCCAAGATCAATGGGTGAATCTCAAGAGAAGGTTTGTTATCACTTTATATATGAGAGGGATTGCTACAGCTGGTAATGATATGCAACTATGATTTGAATTTGTTATTTTATCCCGCACGGAAAAATTTGAGTGCTGATAGTTCTTGTTTTTTTTGTGGCGAAAAATAAGAAAATATAGGTTCTGAAATAGAATACTGTCCGGGCGTAGATAAACTTCTCTTCATTTTAAACTAAACATGCTAAGAATTACTTTCGTGATTATGAGAAGCAAAAATTGCTACTTTTAAAACACTGGCTTTATTTTTGAAATAATCGCTTTTATACATAATCAACAAAACGGTTTTTTGATGGAAAATTATCTTTCTGCTTTGAAAAACAAAAGGAAATTGTTTACGTAAACATAACCAAGCCAACTCAAATGTGCATTGGACCGGAGATTATTTTTCTTTCTCTATTTTTCTTGTTTAACAATCAAGTAGTGTTCAAGTCGGCTTTTGTGCACCTTGATTAATCCACCTCCGTGTAGGATCTTAAGGGTTCATCCTCTCATCAGCGCGGTGCATGCATGATGGCAAAGCAATGCAAACCTTTCCTTTTTTTTTTCCACGTTTTTAAAGATAAATGTGTCATTTCTAGGTATGTCCAACATTATTTCTAAGAAAAGTATGAGATAAAGAAAAACTGGATTATTTTTATAAGCACTAATTGTTACGATAACAAGGTAAATTGAATTGAACTAAGCACAACAATATCAACCCGACCAGGCGACCAAGATCCACGTGAAGTAATAAAAATGCATGACAAATAAAATGTTAACATAGTTGATGATTCGTGATTAGGAGCATAAGGTACTTGAAAATACATTACCAAAAAAACCATATAAATAACTGAAAAAAGGAAAATGTTAAAGAGTGCCCCTAAAACGCTTGTCAAGACCCATTCATTGTGCTTTGAAAATACGAACAATTCTAATCGTTGCTCGGCCGAGGACAAAAATAAAAAAGCCCATAGGAACTCGAAAACTATATAATCTCATATGTCATAACAAAATTACTTATGTAATTAAGACAAATTTTATGGTAATACCATACTTTCATCCCATCCACATCTTTCTCGGCTGACCAAGAGGGCCGAACCTCCTCCTCCTTGAGCTCGCCGGTCTAACTTTCTCACACACCATCCATCCTCCATAAACTAAAAGGCCCGACCCACCCAAGACCATCAGCACCGCCCCGGCCTTTTGCTTCCCGTCGAGTCCACTTAAGAAGCCATACGTCTCTTGTTCATCGAACTCTGGACCTCTCACTCTTTCCGCATATCCAGCAAAAGATACCCCCGGCGACGGAGCCGGCGGGGTTTGCGTGGTTGGTCCTGGCGGTTCTGCCGCGGATAACGGGGCTGGCGGGATCTGTGCGGTCGGTCCGAATGGTCCCGCCGTGGATAACGGGGCCGGTGGCGATTGCGAAGAAGAAGGATCGGGCGCCGTGCCCAGAAGGATGATTGAGGAGAAGAGTATTGAGTGGAGAACTTTGGCCATGATCATTTTGGTGTGAAACACAAAGGTAAACTGAGAAGCTTTGGAGACTTTTATGACGTGAATTTTGAAGGGCGTGTGTAATTTAAAAATGTTCTGAGGCGAGAAAGACGATGAGATGGGACGAAGAACTTCGATTGTTAAGAGGGACGCAGAGCAAAAGCCAAAAACTAAAAGATGATTTTGGGGGAAAGTTCGATGATGAAGTAAGAGTTAGTCTGCAGGTCTTCGAGGAAAATTACCACAAAAAATCCGAACATATTGTACCTGTGCTAATTTGGGAAACTTGTCCAAAAAGTCCTAAATCTATTGCATTTTTATCAATTCAGTCATAAACCTTTTAAATTTACTAATTCAGTCTTAAACCTTTTCATTTCTTATCAATTGAGTCTATTCGCATGGCAATTTTTTAATTTTTTTTTCGCACCGATACATGGCACTTTTTAATATTTTTTTTTTTTTTTTTCTTCCTTCTTCCCTCCTCGCCGCCAAGGTCGACCCGCGGCCACTGGCAAGGGTGAGCCTCACTGGCCGCCGCCGGCTGGCCGACCTCGCCAAGCGACGGTGAGGCCGGCCTCGCCTTGTCTGGGTGAGGCTCGACCTCGCCGGCCCGCACCTTTGGCCGGTCGTCGGTCGCCGGACTAGCTAAAGGGAAGAAGGACAAAAAAAAAAGAAAAAAAATTAAAAAAAATCGAAAAAAATATTTAAAAATTGTCACGTCAATGTTGCCCGGATGAATTCAATTGGTAAGATCTGGCCTGCGCCTATAGCCGGTCGTTGGTCGCCGGACCGGCTAAAGGGAAGAAGGGCAGAAAAAAAAAAAGAAAAGAAAAATTAAAAAAATCGAAAAAAAATATTTAAAAATTGCCACGTCAGCGTTGACCGGATTGACTCAATTGGTAAGAAGTGAAAGGGCTTAGGACTGAATTGGCAAGAAGTGAAAAGGTTTAGGACTGAATTGGCAAACTTAAAAGGTTTATGACTGAATTGGCAAAAGTACAATAGGTTTAGGACTTTTTAGATAATTTTCCCGTGCCAATTCAGTCCCACATCTTTTAATTTGGCCAATCTAGTTTTAAACCCTATGACAATTTGTCAATTCGGTTCTTCCAACCAATTTTGACCGAAAATCGCTGACGTAGAAGCCAGTCATCCTATAACCGGTGCTGACTTGGATAATTTTTATAATTTTTAAAATAAATTTAAATTCTACAAACTTTAATTTGCTACAGCACCTACTTATAAACTAACGAACTGACAAACACATAAGATAATATGTAACTAAAGATAGCCACCTAATTAAGCACCGATGCTACGTCAATTACCTTGGACCTGAGGATTGGGCTTGACCAAGATTTCATTCATGGTTTGTGCAATTACCTTTGGACCTGACGATTGGACTTTTATACCCATTATATCCAAATTTGTCAATTATATATCCACAATCTCACTGTATGACGTGAAGATAAAATAATGAAACTAACATTATGAAACATAACGTAAAGTTTTGGGGCCAATTTCAATTTGTTACCCGTGATTTCAGTGAATAATGACAGTGTTCCTCCTATATTTTTCTACGAAAAAAATTAAGGATTTTCGGGCAACTTCAGGCGCAAAATTGGTCGGAAAATGCTCGATCAGGTTTTGTGTTTTTTGGTCAAACTCAATCAGTTTAAGAACTTAATCAAACATGTCTGACTTAGCTGCTGATTGAGGTGCAATTAACGTTTGCTTTGTACCAAAGAGGGTTGAAAAGAGATTATTTTTACTGTTTTATCAATAAGGATGAGCCGTTTGCGCAAGCGATTTGCCAATAGTGTAGGCTAGAATTATTTTGGACTGAAGGCCTAGTTCTTCATTGGCCCATGGCACAATCACAATTGCTTCTTTTTTCGTGTGGAAGCTATAATGGTAGTGCTCATTAGTGGAAAAGATTACTCGGTGTAGATTTGTTTCGTGGAAAATAAATTATTTAGAAAATATTTTTTTAAAATGGATTGTTTATATATATTTCATCAACCACGAAAATATTTCGAGATAAAAATTGTTTTCGATTAATTTTCATGGACTAATTATTTCAAGCGATTATTTTTAGGAAAAAAAATTCTATATTATTCATTTTTCGAGAAACAAATGGAGTCTTAGGTTTAATTCTAAAAGGAAAATTTCCGATTTAGCTTCATTTTTTTTCCTTTACGGTGAAGAAATGCTTTATTTTCTCCGCGAAAGAGCGTTTAATTCATGCCGTTTAATTCAATGAATAGATAAACCGTCACCCGGTAAAGAAACCCACTATAAAAAATATCAGTTATTTTAAATGATCTTGTATTATCTAGAAGCAAATTCTTTTTTGATTTTGATGCTGCTCTTTTAGTGGCGACACAAACAGTCACAAAAACACAGTGTTTGGGGCCTTATGTTTCCTAATTTAAATTATTCATCATCTAGAGGCAAATGGATTATTTATTTTTTTGGGTCGGATAATGGATTATATTTTAGAGGCATGCATGTAATAGTTTTCCTCACTTTCAAAGGGAAATTATTGACTTTGGGAAAGCGATCACGCGTCTCAAAGCCAACAATTTGTTTAAACCAACTACTTATCTTATCTTAAATGCATTCACAGCCCGAGTGTCATTGCATTTAAAATAAACAATTTTGCTACGATACTCCACGCTTACGCCGGCGTTGTATTCTTAGTTACTCATTTTATGCTTTTGACAATAAACATTCGGAATAGTTCGTTTTCGATCCATCCAAACTTTCCTCAGGTGCAATGCAAAATATCCATTTTTTCAAGTGAAAAAGAGGTCACAACTTTGTCGCCAAATTGTGGAGTAAATGCCTGCCACATTTGACTTGGCAAAGATTGTTCATAATAAGGATGATCATACATCTCTCTCTCTCTCCATTAAGGAAGGAACCAATCGCATCCCGCCGTCCAAACTTTGTTTAGACCCTAAGATTGCTGCATCATCCAACAGCTGAGCACTACCTAACCTCCCATTATTCTACTCGTGAAGACTTTCACAAAATTTCTATTCAAGGCAAAAATTTAGGTGATACATGCCTTCATGAAGATCGTCAACATTATAAACATTACGTCCAAAAAGGGGTCAAATTCATTCATTAATTCCGCTCCCTAGAGAAGACTATAGGATAATTTTCATAATGAAAACATACTCAGTCATGTGAAAGAATAACCTAACTTTTCATATTCAAATACCAAAAAGTGATGTCCATATGTTGTCCATAGATGGTGAGTGAATTGTACCCATGCCTTTGGCAACAAAAACAAATGATATCGCATGCAACTTGTTACAAGTAAACTTTCTTTGCTTGGAAAGTTCTCCCCGGCCTTCGTCCTTGAAAGGGAGGAGAGGCAAGAAAGAAGCTAAACAAAGAGAAATGAGCATATAACAGTCCCCTTATTTTACAAAAATAGCCGGTCTATTGTCAGCCGCAAATTTTAAAGTTGGAAACCTGGAGATTTGCATGTCCGTATTCATATTTTTTTTATTTTTTTAATCGGAATACTTTTTCGTGACTGGCTTGATGAAATTTCCACTATTTTTAAAAGAGAAATGAGCACATAACAGTCCTAATATTATAAAAAATGGACAGTCCATTGTCAGTCATAGGTTTTAAAGTTGGAAACCTGAGGACTGGCTTATTCGGTTTCGTATTTTTCCTAAACCTTTTTGTCTGTCAGAAAACTTTTTATAACTGGCTTGATGGGATTTCCACTAATTCAAAACAGTCCGTAAACACATTAAAACACTCTCTCTCACTCTCCTTTTCTGACAGCTAACAAACCTCGTAAATTTATGCCAATTCATACAGCTAATATACAAATAATCGAGATTCAAGAAACCATAAAAAGAAAAAAGAAAAACCTCCATCTTCGTTCTAAATCTAACCCCAAAGTTCTCTCTTTCACACAACCAACGGTAGTTATCATAGTTGTTTTTTTTTTTTTTTCAAATAGTTATCATAGTTGTTCAAAGGTAAAGGCAACGAACAAACTCAACATGCACACTCACTCTCACTTTATATTGTGACTTTGCTTGAATCTCACCATTGAAAGCCTACAAGCATCTCGGGGAAGAATAGGATACTGCATAGCACGAAAAAATTGTCCTAAAAAATGTTAAACCTATTGTACAGTGGCCAATTCAGTGTTAAACTTTTTTATTTGGCTAATTTAGTTATAAATCTTTTGACGATTTAATAATGTAGTTATTCCAGCCAATTTTGGTCAGAAATCGCAATTGTAGATGTCGGTTGTTCCACATAATACAGCCGATAGCGCTTAAGTGGACGATTTTTGCAATTCTTTTAAATTTTTTTCTTTTTTCCTTTCCTTTTCTTTTCTTTTTATATTTTTCCCCTTAATCTTTTCCTTTTCACCTGTGGCTAGTCGTCAGCCATCGCCAAAACCAGCCACAGGGAGGGTCGCGACACCTCGCCTAGTGGGTGAGCGTGGCCCTCGCTAAAGAAAAGAAAAAGGAAAAAGAGACGAGAAAAGAAAAAAAATTGAAAAAAATTATCATAATCATCTACGTCAGCGTCGTTCATGCTATGTAGAACATCCAGAGCTGACTAGATCATCACATCAGCAATTTTTGTCAAAATTGACCGAAACGACTACATTAAAAAATCTTTAAAAAATTTATGACTAAACTTAAGACTGAATTGATTGTCATATAATAATTTAGAACTTTTTAAACGATTTTCCTCACAAAACACATCCATGTCCTTCACCTTCAGCCCCTTGACAAGCAGCTCGAGGCACCACCAATTCTAGTGTTGACAGCCCCGTTGTTTTTGGCGTTTCGAGGTTGAGGACTTCCTCAGCGAAGAAGCGGCTCGGGCCGCTAAGGCGAGCCATCGCCGATCGCCTCTCTTCCAGCTCGGCTCACCATGGGGTCCTATCCTCCACCGTTGCTTTCGAAGCTTCCGGAACTCTTCGGGTGCACTTGAACTTCGGTTCCTTTCTTATTTGTTTGCTAGATTCTTGATTTTTAAGTGGTTCTTGATTTTGTTGGGTCGTTGCCAGATGTTGGAAAGTTTTGACTTTTGGTCCTGGAGGTTGGTGCTTGGAATCCCAAAGAAACGATGCAAAGTGAAAAAAATTTGGAACCGATCGAATCAGTCTCCCATTTTCCTCCGTTAAAAATTGTGGCTGGCATCGGACCGTCAGAAATTTGTTAGTTCGGACAAACCTAAAAGAGAAAATCCTTCTAAGGGTTTTGAACTACTCTTTGACATTTGAACAGAACAAAGAAGATTTGCAACCCAAAAGTAGATTTAACGAGAAGGTGGAGAATAAGGGAGAGAGCACCAACAGAAGATAAACAACGACACAGGAGAGAGAATTCACATATGAATGTAGTGCACAGCATACAAAGAAGAAAGAAACAGATACATGTTCCCCCCCGCTCAATCATAACACTAAGGATTTTCCATCTCTCTACAGTTTTTTTTTTCCACATTCCATGGACTTTTGAACACAAGTATGATAAAAGCAAGTCCCCCACCACCATGTGACTTCATCACGATCTCCTTCCAAATCTCTATCTCTCTCCCTCTCTCTTTTTGTCCTTTTGTTTTCCTTCATCAGAGAACAATTAGGAGGAGGGCATTGATAAATTATGAAAATAGACTAAGAGTTGCTCCTGAATGATCCAAGGGCTTTAACTGCTCCTGCCCTCAATATGAACTGGTGGTAGAAAGCTGCAATGGCTGCCCCAATGAATGGTCCTACCCAGAAGATCCACTGAAACTCAACGAAACAAAAACGACATTATCAATAAACTGTAGTGAATTGGGGAAAAAATGGTAAATTTTTTCTTAATTCTGAAAAATAAAAGAGAGGTTATAGAGCAATGAATTGATTTAACCTGATCATCCCAGGCCTTATCCTTGTTGTAGATAACAGCAGCGCCGAGACTTCTCGCCGGGTTGATACCGGTTCCGGTGATGGGGATGGTGGCCAAGTGAACCATGAACACCGCGAATCCGATTGGCAGAGGAGCCAAAACCTTTTCCAAAGATTCATCCCAAAGGAAAGACACCCATCGTAAGAAACAATTGTTCATGTTCAGGACAATCCTAGGCATATTATGTATGCTGTCCGTTCCACGGAACAAAGTCAATCAATTGGGAAAAAGAAGAAGAAACTGTAAGAAGATGCCAAATTCGACATATGGGAGATGCGACGAATCGAAAAGTTCCCTCTAACTTTGCCAATATGGAAAACGACATCATTTGCCTACAAAGTTACTGCATGAAAGAAATTGCAAGAGATCAAAGAAGCCACTGTTTCTAGTCAAGAAAGATGCCAAAAGGGCACGTCAATTGGCAGCGAAAGGCAAAGGAATAGTCTACTTTTCAAAGACGAGGACGAAAGTTAGGTGACTCTTGCACTAGGAAGCTCTATAATATCAACCACACACAGAAACAGGCAGGATTTATTTCACTGCAGAGCCAGCGAATGCTGTGGATATCAACCACTAGGAAGCTCTATAATATCAACCACACACAGAAACAGGCAGGATTTATTTCACTGCAGAGCCAGCGAATGCTGTGGATATCAACCACTAGGAAGCTCTATAATATCAACCACACACAGAAACAGGCAGGATTTATTTCACTGCAGAGCCAGTGAATGCTGCGGATATCGTCCCCCCACCCAGTGGACCTCACATGTTCATGAGATTGGAGCTGAGCAATGATATGCATCGGTTCATGCGTGACTCGCGTAATAATAATTACAGCAAAAGTGACTAGAAAGAAAAAGAAAAAAAAGAGGGAAAAAGAAAGTTCTTTCTGTCGGTATCACAAAAAATTTGGACTTCCTTCATTTACCATACCAGCAAGAAAATAATTAGAGAGAAAAAAAGTGCCAATTTCTGCTATATGATTTTCAACTTCAAACTTATCTCTACAATTCCTTTGAAATGAGCAAATCCTCTGTAAAAATGTATTATTAAAGTAGGCAAGATGGACAAATTAGTAACTTAGGTCATCGGAATAATTGTCAACATGTATCACGTTTTATTTTTGAAAATTGACTTAAAATCACTTTTACCTTATAATCGTTTAAGTTTCTAGGAATAAGAAATAAAATCTACTTGCTTTCTCTCGTACATGAATGCTTTCCTTTGCTCATTCAGCTCTTTGCGAGAAAAGATACTCCTAATCAATCATTTCTCTCCTGAGGAAGAACAAATGTATTTAATTGCTACAAATATGAATTATTGAGCAAATAAAGTGCTATCCCGGGCTTCGGTGACAGCTATGGATAGAAAAAAAACTTAGCACATTAACATTCATCAAGTACTAACTAATGCCGATAGAATAATTTATTTTGTAGTTCTTCTCAAGAGTGAATTAGGTAGAGATACCTTTCTCAACTCTTCACCTAAAGAACCCTGATGAGAGAGTATTGTATGTATCCATTATAGTGATTATAGGTCACAGCAATTTACAAATTCTTTTCCAAATTTGAAATTGTGTGTCAACTCTCGTTAGTGATGCGCAAGATAGCAATCGCCTGAAAACATACTCATGTAAAGGAAGGGACATAGATACTCCCAGCATTAGTTACGATGTCAACCCTAATAATATAAGAAACACAGAGGAGATTAAGGAAACGTGTGTGTGTATCGTCCATTACCGGAACATGGGAATCTCTGGCGCTCCTCTTGGGATCGGTGGCCGAGAAGACCGTGTAGACCAGCACGAACGTGCCGATGATCTCGGCGCCCAGCCCGACGCTGGTCTTGTACCCGGCGCTGAGCTCGTTGGCTCCACCGCCGAACCGGTCGTAGTACGACTTCTGGAAGAGCTTGACCAGGCCGACTCCGCATATGGCACCCAGGCACTGAACCACCATGTACATTATGGCTCGCACCAGCGACACCTTCCGCGCCAGGAACAGCCCGAACGTCACCGCCGGGTTGATGTGACCACCTAAGTCATTCATCAACCGAATCGAAGTAGAAATCAGTCGACTTGAAAAGGTTGAAATATGTCGCGTGGTTAAGAATTATAGAGCGATGGATCACCTGAGATTCCGGCGGTGCAGTAGACGAGGACGAAGATCATGCCGCCAAAGGCCCAGGCGATGCCGAGAATGCCGACTCCGCCGCAGGCGTCGCCGCCGCTGATCTGGCTCTTGTACCCGATCACGGTCAGCACCGTGATGTAGAGGAAGAGGAGGGTGGCGATGAACTCGGCGATGAGCGCCCTGTAGAACGACCACTTGCCCAGCTCCACCGGGTCTATCAGCGGCGCCGGCGGGGGGTCGTGGTAGTCCTTGGCCGAGAACGAGCCATGCTCCGCCACTTCCTTCGTCATGCTGCTGGCGTTCTTGGCGACTCACACAGAGAGAGAGAGAGAGAGAGAGAGAGCGAGAGAGAGACAGAGAGACAGAGAGATTTCTCTATTGCCTGTGGGAAGTGAAGGTGTCCGTGGGACGAAGGGGGGTATATATACATCGTCGAGAGAAGTTGATGACGTTTAGAGTTTTTCTTTCTTTCTTTTTTTTCTTTTTATTCTTTTTGAGTAGTGCTAATTTTATTCAAATTCATATGTCATTAAAATAACAAATCATGTTGAAAATTTTAAAGCTTATTCATAATATAAACGCATGTCGCTCAATAAATCGATCTTTTATGCAATTCTCTATAGACCTAACCTTACCCTCATTTTCTTTTAAGTTTAATCATGATATTAAACTTTGTATTTTTTTTCTTTTATCGTGGTACAGTGATGTGGCAAGTCCATGTGAAAATCCTACCACGAAAAACCTTAAATTGATCCGCTAACGGAGAGTAAATTTGTAACAGGATTACTAGTTTGGGTTTTTGCTGGTCAAAAATTTGTTTTGAGTAAATTTGTCACGGGTGTATCATTTTGGGGCCTTTTTTTGGTATTAATCCTGTTACATTTAGAACAATTTGTAGAATCATATGACTGTGCATTCCACAAAAATATAATAACAACAAGAACAACAATCAAATCATCTAACTTTGTATTTTTTTTTTCTTTTGGGGTTTGTGACCACGTTTTTGCCGGCAAAAACAGATTGCGCTTTTTCCGATTGATGATCCCGTGAAGTGTATTTTACTGCAAATTGCACCCCCGAAAACGCCAATTAACAAATCTTTCGTTGCGCTTCGCTTTCCATCACACCCACCCTACTGACCGCACCACGCGACCTCCCACTCATCATCACCAGCATCATCTCTCGCCTTCGCCAATCTCTTTCGCTTTTTGCCATTTCATTCTCGACCTCACAGTCGCAGTCCCGTACGAATCGCACTCGTATCTCTCTTTGATTTTTTCACCTTCTGTTTCTCTGTCTTTCTTGCTTACTTTTTGCTGTTTGCAGTAATCTGTTTTGTGTTTATTGAGACTCCTGTGATCTTGATCCATTAAGTCATTAGACTGCATCATTATGCTTGATTCCTAATCGCCTGCACGTAGACGGTAAAGACCGATAACAGGATCGAGTTTCGTAACCTTTTTCGTATAGTTTCCTTATAGAATTTGGGAAGGACCGTGGAAAGAAATGAAAAACCTAGTTAATTTGGCACGAGATCACTTTATCTTGCTAGTGATTTTCACTTGCTTCATTGAACTTCAACTCACCGTCGCCCGATCCATCTATTAGATTCGCTTATTACACGGGTTCTTTGGGAGAAGCCGAACATTCTTCTTCTGATAATAATAGGGTTTCATGCAAGTAGTGAAAATCGAAATTTTTACACGTAAGCACCACATGCTAATTGCTAGCTCAGTTAATTAAGAGACTTGTCACGTTTGACAAACACATCAGCTTTGGCTATGGAAAAGGTTTTGAGGATCAACCGCAAATGCTTACAATTAAAAACGAAAATATAGCCAATTCATCGAAAATTGACAGCAAAGAACAGTGACTACCTGTGAATTTAACCCCATAAAAACATGTATCTGGCGCTTCTTTAGCCAATATCTATATAAGAAGAGCTGAACCATAAATGGGTTTCTCATTTATGTGTAATTACTATTTGTGAGACCAGACTTTTTCATATAAAATAAGCTTCACAAATGTCCAAAGCACTCGTCAACGGGATCAATAATACTGAGGCATTAGTTCATATGTGAAAATGATTTCCCAAATAACCAATGCAATTTATTACTTTTGGGCGAACAAAATGGAGTGTTTTCAAATAGTGAAAAAGCTACGTATACTGAATTATATGGGTACAAATTTTATAGTTCTGAAAACAACATTTAGGTAATATCTGCATGTAATCAATCAATAATCGTAAGTGTTATGAATTTTCTCATTTCTTTTCCCTTAAAAAGTAGTAATGCTTTGCATAAGATGATTAATTTAGGCGAGCGAAAAGCTCATGCTCAGAAGATACTTAGGGTGCGCATGAATACCATTATGTGCCCGGGCGCTATTTCTGAACAGAAATAATTTTTTTTGATTCTGTGCCCGGAAACAATTTCTGAGTATTTGAAGGCGTTTGATAAATGTCCAAAATTTCTATTCCTAGAGTAGAAAAGAACAGAAATGCGTTTGGTAACTACACAAAATTTCTGTTCCCAAATAATATTTTAATAATATTTTGAATTGTTTAAAAAAAAATTTTCTTTTTACTTTCTTCTTTGGCCATGGCCGGTCGCTGCCGGCGACCGGCCACGATCAGGCCGAGGCCGGCGAGGGCGTCACGGACCTCGCCGGCCGGCGGAGGCGGGTCGCCCTCGCCGGCGAGGGCGGCTCGGCCCGGGCGAGGCGCCTCGCAGGCGGGCGAGGCCGGCGGCCTCGCCCGGCGAGGTCGGCTTCGCGTGGGCGAGGCTCGGCCTCGCCCGGGCGAGGCCGCCGCCGGCGGCGAGGGTCCGGCCCTCGCCCTCGCCTCCGCCGGCGGCCGACGAGGGCCGTGACGCCCTCGCCGGCCCTGGGCTGTGGCCGGTCGCCGGTCGCCGGCCGCCGGCTCAGCCAAGAACAACACCACAAAATAAGAAAACAAAAAAAAAGAAAAAGAAGAAAAAAAACTGATTCTCAAAATTGTGCCGAGAAATAAGAAGCAACTTTTTTTTACTTATTGTTTCTCTTCCAAAACTGTTTCTCGGCACAAATTTTTGCAAAAATGTGCCGAGGAACAAAAAGTTTACCAAACGCATTTCTGTTCCCAAACTATTTCTGGGAATAAAAAAACAGAAATTTTCACTATTTGGCACGTTACCAAACGGGCCCTTAAAAGCCTCTATAACGTGTGCTTCTCGTCTAAAATACACCACATTTATATGGAGCTAGTATCCAAGAAAGAGCCAGGAAGACCGGGTGAATTAAACTCTGGTTCATCGAGAGAGAGTTACCGAAGGAGAAAGCAAGTTGCATGCCCTCAGATGCTGACAGAAAGCACTATTTACATGTATCTAGGAACAGTAAAGCGGTTCACGGTAAATCGCTCAGACGGAGCAAGATTCACTGATGAATCACAGGTTGGAGAAAGGCATGGGAAACCGTGTGGAGTCAGTCGCTGCTTCGTATTGATGACGATGATCAACCCAGCTCAATCCCTCAATCTGCAGCACTCTCTGCACAACACTGCACTGATCATCATCATCAGTAGCAACTTGAAAAAGCAGTGGCCAAATGGCCAGTCCAGAGACTGAGCCTAGAACGACCTTTCACGTGGTTTGGCTCGCGTCCATGTCATAGACTCTTTGCTGTCCCGTTGAATGATGAACACCATTTTCTTTATATTCTCGGTTTTGCTGGTTGTGAATCGCATTCCACAGTTCGATGAGGATCTTCACGTGGACCACGCTTTTACCCAAGAACTGCGGAACTCGCTCTTATTTTTTTCTTCTCCAAAAGGAGTTCCCCAAGTAGTTTCTCCAATTTGGAGAATCGTGTACCAGGTTGCAATGGTTCCGAAATAGTGTAAAAATAAAAAGAAGGGTTTTGAATTATATAGATGAATATTGAAGAAATTATAACTGTAGTGAAGAGGCAAGAGGTGGTGCTACGCCTTTCCAAAGGGTTTTGCTCACCCAATAATTCTCGTTTGTCGGTGTTCTTAGGACAATTGTTAGGTGTCTAAACATTGCAAGAAAACCTCCTACAAAACTTTTTTTAGATATTTATTTTCCTATACAATCTAGGGCAAAATAAATTTTTGTTTGGGACGCTCGCTTGGATTTTGGCCAGTTTATGCGGTTATTAGAATTTTTCATGGACACCGGACTTATTTATCTAAGATGAGCTTCCTTGTTGTAGGGAAAAAATTCAACATTTTCTAAGCATACTTTCCAAATTACCGTATCATAAGATTAGAAATATGAAATTACGTGAGAATGGCATAAGTTTGATGCAAGACTCCGATGAGGCAACGTTGGGAGCGAGTAACCCCATGATGAGCTCGCTTGGGGGTTGTAGCGACCCAAGTGAGATCTCACTTGGGTTGCACATCCCCCATGAGGCTTGCTCAGGGTCGAGCGAGCCCGGCAAAATCTATTTCACTTGAGTCCAATGCCTCCGACGAGTGGCTCGCCTAGGCTCACTCGATCCCGACAAGGCAACACCGAGGTCGGGTGATCCAAGGGACGGACCACTTGCCTGAGCGTGATGGTGGCGAGGCCACTATCATCGCGCCTCTATCTCTCTTTCAACCATGAACAACTCCAAATTGAAGGAGAAGATGAGGGTATTTTGAAATTACAAATGTATTTTTCATAATATGGTATAGTTTTTAGTAATCGAGGAAAATTGCCTTCCTTAATTTATAATGGTCCAAAAAAGTTTTGTCAAACACCACAATTTTTCACTCAAGCGATTTCAGAAGAGTTTAAATGGCTTGGTAAAACATTGTCAAAGTCACCTTTTACCATAGTCCCCGAAGCATTTAGTAACAAAATCTTGTGATTGTTTCTTAGCGATTGTAATTAGCATTGCCGGAACACTTATTAAGACGACTCATAGGAAAAAAAAAAATTTCTTGGGCACGCTCTTCCAAAAAGAGTTGGCTTTTGAAATTTCTAGACTTCTTCGTTGGAAAAAGGAAAGAGACAACACCGTGGCGGAGTGGGTGGCTGAAGATGGCTTGGCGGAACTGAACGTTGGGGAGGGTAGGGGACCGGCCAAAGCCACGCACACCAGAAGAAAGAGAAAAATGAATGGGGACAGCGGGCGGTGAAAGTGGAAAATAGTGTAAATGACATCATTGCGATGTATACCTTTATCATCTCCATTCATTGCTAAATCTGTTCGAATTCAATGGCTTCAAAGATCTATAGAGAGAGAGAGAGAGAGATGCATTGATTACGGTGGAAGATTTCTACAGAGAGTGGGGAAGCAGGAGTGTTGTGTAAGCAAAGCTTGACAACTCGGCAACTTGACCATGTGATTTGCATTTTGCAGGGTGAGTTTCCAGATGTTACAACGAGAGGAACTACAATGAATGT